CTGAACGCTAGACCCTAAACCCTAAAGCCTCAAACCTCATGTCACCCCCACCCGGAAACCCAAAGCCCTTAAGACCCTTCCAGAACCCTTACAAAACTCGTAGAATGCCTGTATAAGGCCTTTAAGCGCTAAACCCGTATGCACCCTTCAACCCTTAAACCCTTTAACCCCTAAAGCCTAAATTTAAAACCCCTAAGCCTCTAAACCACTACACCCTTAAACCCTCAAAAACCCCCTAGTTAAACACTTAAAAACCCTCGAACCCTTAAAACACCTAAAAACCCTGTAATCCTAAACCCCTAAACCCTAAAACCCTAAACCCCTAAACCCTAAACCCTAAACTAAACCCTAAACCCTAAACTAAACCCTAAACCCCAAACCGTAGCCATGGCACTGTTCGAGTCTCTCAATGCAGCCCGCGGCCTGCACCCAAGTGCTCAGCAAGAGCTCCGCGCGTTTGAAAACTGTGGGGTCCCTCTGGGCGAATTTAGGGTTTAGGGTTTAGGGTTAAGGGTTTACGGGAATTTAGGGTTTAAGGTTTTACGGTTGAGGGTTTAGGGTTTAGGTTTGATGAAACCTACACTTTGCTTTCGGGGAACAGCACCATCGCACGAAAAGCCGTGCTCATTCGGCCTCACTCGCCCTCTTTCAAGCTTAGCCGCCTTGGCCTACTTGCAGCAAACTCTTTTGCCGCAGATAGTCTGCAAGAGATCGGAAGGCCAAGCAACACCACGTCCAGAAAGGACGTGACATCCTGCACCCTAGCCCTGAACGCGAAGGGTAGGAAACCCTGAACCCTTAGCCTCCAAGCCCATTAAAGCCCGAAACTGCTAAATCAAAACGCCGAACCCTTGCCTCAGCTTTGGCCTCCGACACCAGCGGTGTACCTAACGTCGGCTCTGCTTGGAGCGACTTTGCAGGTTCCGGACTTACGGATTTAGGGCTCAGGGTTTAGGACGATGACGATGAGGAGGATGAGGAGGAGGAGGAAGTTGGTGATGATGATGATGATGATGATGATGATGATGTAGACACCCTGAAGGACTGAACGAAAATACTCAAACCCAAAAGCCTCAGTCCAAAACCTTACACGCAGACGGAATCAAACCCCAAACCCCAAGATCACAAACCCAGAATCCTAAAGCCTGCAACACCTGGTTCCAGTAGCCCTGCTTAGATCCCACGTCCAAACTTCCGAAAGAGCCCTTATGAAGCCCTCATAGGACCCCTAAACCCTATGGCCCTACGCCCTAAACCCTGCAGCCCAAAACCCTTATCAAACCTAACGATCTCACATCCGAGGCTCTGTTCACTGCATAGCGCAGCGGCACTTTCACCACATTCTGTGCCTGGCGACAGCACGATAGCACTCAGAGACCCGGATCCCGAAATTTAGTGCTTTTGGGCTTTTTTGAATTAAGGGATATATAAGGACTTCAAAAGGGTGTTAACTACGGATTTTAGCAGGGCTAGGTTTGAGTGTTTAAAGCTTTACGGGCTTCGGGGTACAGGAGCCTCAAAGCAACGTTGTGCGCATTGGTAAACTTTAGTCGAACTAGCAGAATGTACTGCGAAAGATTGAGCACCCTAAACCCTAAACCCTAAACCCTAAACCCCTGAACCCTAAACCCTAAACCCTAAACCCCAAACATACTTTACTTTCACTGCTTCTTAGGGATTGTAGTAATCCAAGATTAAGAAGAAGCCCCAAGTACCCCTAAGTATAGTCACCTTTGTAGTATCCCTTCATTCCCGGAGCTCCTGGCGCTGAAGCCAGTCGTTCAGAGGGATCTCGGATCTCCTGGCAGATACGAATGGATACACTTCTGAGGGTTCTTATCAGGGTTACCATAAGGGTTCCCCCTAAACCCTAAACCCTAAACCCTACACCCTAAACCCCTAAACCCCTAAAAACCCTAGACCCTAAACCCTAAACCCTAAACCGGGGAGGAAGGGGAGGTTGCGAGTTGGGTTTGCCCGGATTTGGGGCTCGAGTTCGGGTGCTTTCCGGATCGGTGGCTTCAGCTGTGGCGGGGTAGGGCTCAGGGTGTTGGGGTCGACGGTTTAGGGTGTAGGGTTTAGAAGTTTAGGGTTTAGGGTTTAGGGTTTAGGGTTTAGGGTTTAGGGTTAAGGGTTTAGGGTTTAGGGTTTAGGGTTTAGAAGTTTAGGGTTAAGGGTTTAGGGTTTAGGGTTTTGGGTTTAGGGTTTAACCATGGCTATCGGCTCTAACTGTAACTGCGGTTGGGTACTGACGGGCAGAGAGGGTCGCGCAACAATGAATGCAGAATGCTTGCAAGAGAAGTTTCGAGGTAGGGGCTTGGTGTTTAGGGCTCACGACGGCCAACGTCTGGTCTCCCAGAACTAGTTGGATCCACGGCGCATTCTGAGTCCATCTTACACTCAGTCCCTAAACCCTAAACCCTAAACCTTAAACCCTTAAACCTTGAAGCACTGAACCATCAGCTCCTGTCCATGACCTTCGCACTGCTCAGCCACATCTCCACCTCGGCAGGTTGGGTTTAGGGATGCAAGACAGGAGCCTCAGATCATCCGCCAAATTAGGGTTTAGGGTTTAGGGTTTAGGGTTTAGGGTAAAACCCATTGCAGACAAAGAAATGCTGCATCCTGCGCACCTGCTGGGTCTGACGGTGGTAGTCAATAAGATTGGGTCGGGAAACAACTCCAAATCCAAAACGCACTGACTGCATCTTTCAAACTCGAGCCCGTCAGTTCAATTCTTAAAGCCTGATAAAAAAATCTTAAGCCCAAACCACTAACCCAAAACCTCCAAGCCTAAAGCTCAAGTCCTAAACCCTGAGCTAGCATGATACGTGGATACAGGAATGGAACCCTAACTCGAAGCTCGTGAGAATATGTCTGAAACCGTTCCCTGCACCCAACAACTCCCAACCCCATGGAAGTCTCGCAAAAGCGGGGAGGAGCTGCAACATTGACCCTTACTGGCAGCATCCTCTTTAGACTATTTACAAGGAACACCAAAATCCTTGCAAAACTCACATTAACCTTTAAAGCCCTTCTCAAACCCGAATGACAACACCCTGAGAAACCTGGTACAACCGTCTTACCACCTAAACCCTAAACCCTAAACCCCAAGCCCAACTTCAAGAAATACCCAATGTCCCAAAAACGGCCGTGCCACGCTCTGCACGAGGATCTTGAGCTGCGCTTGTTCCTTGGTGAACTTGACCTGGCGGTTTATTAGCACTGAAGGTTTATTTAAACCCTAAAACTTCAACCCTAAACCCTGAACCCTATTCCCTAACCGCCAGCCACTCCGAGCCGATCCTCCTATGCAGAAGCCGACTACCTCTCGTCCTGATGGGTTTAGGATTTAGAGTTTAGGGTTTCGGGATTAGGGTGCTTCATAAAGGGTGCTGGGTTTAGGATTTAGAGTTTAGGCCCTCCTGAAACCAAGAAAATCTACCTCCAGGAGTCTTATGCCATTGCAGATTGTACGCCCTCAGCCACACCTAGAACCGGCGAAACCAAATGCTAACCGGTCCAGGTCACCACTGTGCTTAGGGTTCATATCTTGGCTTCAAAGGAGACATTGGGTTCAGATCAAGGCTCAAGAAAAACCCTAAAACCTAAAACCCTAAACCCAAAGCCCCAAACCCTAAACCCTAGAACCCCAAACCCTAAACCCTGAACCCTAAATCCAAAGCCCCGAGCCCTTTCTGAGGCTGCGTTGGCCAGCCTGGTCGCGCTGCTGCACGCGGAAATTCCTGGCCAGACCTGGTTGGAGAGTCGAAGGGCTTGGGGTTTAGGGTTTGGGGGTTCGGGCTTGGGGTTTAGGGTTTAGGGGTTTACGGGTTTAGGGGTTTACGGGTTTAGGGGTTTAGGGGTTTAGGGTTTAGGGTTCAGGGTTTAGGGTTTGGGGGATTTAGGGCCTTATGCGTCGAGTGTGGGCGGAAATTCTGCGGCAGCACTGCGAGACAAGTGCACTGAAGACATAGCTGCGGCAGCAAGACTTCTAGTCCAAGACAGCTCCTCTTGCGGACATGCCAGGGAACCAAGCTGACACCCTCAACCCCAAACCCATAAGCCATCATGACACCAATGCTGCCGCTGCCTTCTACCACCCTAAACCCTAAACCCTAAACCCTAAACCCAAAACCCAAAACCCTAAAACCCAATGCTGCCGCTGCCTTCTACCACCATGAAGCCCAGCAAAGTACCCTCCAGCGTCGCCTCAGATGAAGAATGCAAGGCGCCTACAGGTCGCAGGGCCACAAGCAAAACCACCACCCTAAGCCCCAAAGCCTGAACCAGAACAGCCAAGGTTTAGGGTTTAGGGTTTAGGGTTCAGGGTTTAGGGTTTTGGGTTTAGGGTTTTGGGTTTTGGGTTTTGGGTTTTGGGTTTAAGTTTCAACAGACCCTGCATCCGACGAAGCAGGGCTCGACCACCGCACCGTCAAACGCTGGAAGCTCCAAGACTCCACTGCTGGGGGCCGGAGGATTCTAAGAAGCAGACTTTTGGGTTTAGGGTTTTAGGGTTTTAGGGTTTAGGGTTTAGGCTTCCTTGGTTTTAGGGTTTAGGCTTCCAGGGTTTTAGGGTTTAAGGCTTCTAGGGTTTTAGGGTTTAGGGTTTTAGGGTTTAGGTTTAGGGTTTAGGGTTTAGGGTTTCGGGTTTAGGGTTTCGGGCTTAGGGTCTAGGGTCTAGGGTACGCTTGTGTCGGTAAACCAGAAAGCAGAGGAATAGGCGATCCCAATAAAATGATGATAGGGTTTTGGGGTAGGTTAAGGTACAAGTATCGGGACCTGCTATTCGGACCGCTACTACATAATTGACCTGCCAAGCGGCGCCGGAGTGGTTAACTGCTTGATGTTTGCCTCTCCGGTCGCCCGAGCTGTGTGGATACAAGTTTGGGAGATAGGGAAGAGCCCGAAACACAAATTCCACAACCCAGCAACACCAAAACCCTAAACCCTAAACCCTAAAACCCTAAAGCCCTAAAACCCTAGAAGCCTGAACAGTGAAACCCGAACTCCCTCAGCCCTAAAATCGCGACAGGTTGTTGCTACATGAAGCAGGAAGGCCTGAAACCTCAAGCCCAAAGCCCCATAGGGTCGGCGCCCTTTACGGCGACCACAAACAAAACTCCTCGCTATCAAGGCGACTTAAGCTCACCCTAAGCCCTAAACCTTGAGCCTTGCCCGAAATTTTTACTGCGACATCATCCCTGGGCCTTGAGCCCGAAGCCCTTAAAAGGTTTCGGGCTTAGGGTTTAGACCTCAACCCCTCACCAACAAGTGGACATGGTCCTTCCTTAGGATTGGGGCCAGAGAGTGCAGTCAGGGTTCTTTTCTCGTGGGTTCAGGGTTCAGGGTTGTGGGTAGTTCTCTAAATCAGGCTCCCTTACTAGGTCCCCAATATAGTACGGCACCCTTATAGAATGGACGCTAAAAGGGCCCTAATTTAAAGAACGACCCTTGTGGGTTTAGGATTCAAGCACGCGCGCGAAAAGAAGTCACCCAGCTTTCAGCTGAGAACCTGGAGCTCTAAGGTAGGAGTACGACGTGGTTTGGAGTAGAGTTTACGGTTTAGGGTTTGGGATGGTTTAGGGTTTAGGGATTCGGGCAGGGTTCAGGGTTTAGGGTTTAATGGTGGCGGTGCAAGAAAGGTTCAAGCCCACTCACCCAAAGCTAAAAAGTTCTGGAAGCATCTGAAGAAACTCCACTAACCCAAGATTCAAGATCCAGTTCTGGAGAGTTAAGGGCTCCCAAATTTTGAAGTTGGGAGTTTTTGAGGCCTTTAGGGTTGAGGGTGTAGGATTCACGGTATTGAGGTTCTCCGACGAATAATATAGAATCCCACGTTTGTGCCTTGGCGTTGAAACCGAAACAGGGCCAGAGTAGCAGGCTGGTGGGGAACTAGGGTTTGGGGTTTACGGCTTACGGTTTAGGGTTTAGGGTTTAGAGCTTTTTTTGCTAGTGCCCTGCGCGCT